TGTCTGTCTATATCCGACTAGCAGAACAGGGACAGAAAAGGTTATCGATTGCTTGAAAAGGCAATCATCTGTGTTCGGCAACCCTAAACGCGTTATTTCCGACAGAGGTGCAGCGTGTACGGATATTGCGAGAACAATGGTATTCATCATCTACTAACAGCGACAGGAGTTCCACGTGGTAATGGACAAGTCGAAAGAATCCATCGGATTATTATGCCAATGTTAGCAAAGCTTTGCTCAGACAACCCGAGTAGTTGGTATAAGTATGTAGATCAGGTCCAACAAACGCTCAATAATACGCCTGCTAGAAGCACATAATTATCGCCGTTTAAGCTTCTGACCGGAATAGATATGCATGTTAATCATATATCAGAGCTGCAGGAACCCTTGGACAACGAAACGATAGTAGAGCTCGATAAAGATAGAGAATATTTGCGAAAAGAAGTATTTACAAGAGAACATTGCGAAAATGCAAAAAGAAAATAAAAGGAACTTCGACTCCAAGCGTAAAGCAGCAACACAATAAGAACTTAGCCAATTGGTAGCCATTAAGCGAACCCAATTTGGTAGTTCATTACGACTACGACCCAAAGTTTTCGCCCATACAGGATAACCAAAATAAGGAACCATGGCCGCTATGAGGTAGAAAAAGTAGGTAAAGGCAAAGGGCCAAAGAGAACCACTACCGTTGCTGAGTATATGAAGAGGTGGGCGCCATCGTTTGAGGCCAAACGATATGCCAGGCTGGCAGAATGTGGGAACGTATGAACTGACTGAAAGACTGTAATTAGACTGACCAATACAACTCTGTGTACAAGGAACAATAAAAATGACAGTTAACGCGCGGACGACAGCGGACGTCATTTCGTTTAGCAATAAGTCCTAAACCTAAAACTAAACTAGATTTAAATCGAACATATTATTACTTACTATTAATATTGTCTACTAACTGAATTCAATAAACTGTGGATAATACTTAAAAGTGCATTTCATTTAATTGAAATTAGTCAAGTGAGCACGGAGCGTAGCACATTAGTTCAATATATTAATGATATTCATTTTTGGACAGATTCACATATTGTTTTGCAGTGGATCAAAATGCATTCGTCATCTCTAAATTGTTTCGTGGCCAATCGATTTTCGGAGCTGCAGATGAATTCAGTAGGCATAATCTGGAGATATGTACCTACGAAGTAAATTCGCAGATATTGTATCACGCGGTTGCATGGCACGTGAACTCTTAAATACGATGTGGTTTAAAGGACCAACATTTTTCTCTAAAAATACAGAATCATGGCCTGAAGAAGCGACAAATATCTCGTTCAGTAAACTCGACTTGAAACAGCAGAAACCAATTACACTATTAAGGGTGATGGCATTCATTCTACGACCGTTCAACAAAATTGTCCCTAACAAAAATTCACAGAATTTCTTATTTGTATCACCAGATGAACTTCAGCAGACGTTTTTATACATTGTTTAATCCATTCAGAACTCACATAATGCACATGAAATAAAAACACTCAAGACATCGAAGACACTAAAACCTGAAATATCGAAGATGTCACCGTTTTTGGTCGAGAGCCCTTTGCAAGTTTCAACTAAATTAGTTTTACAAGTTGGAGGAAGACTCAATAAAGCACCCGTTGAATACAATGCGAAGTTTCCTACATTATTGCTAAAGCAACATCAATTTGCGCGCAAATTTGTGGAGAACCTGCACATAAAGAACAAGCATGCAGGCCCAAAGTTGTTAATCGGAATTATGGGGTTGCAAATTTGGGTAATCAATGCGCGTGAGTTAATACGAAAGGTAGTCAACTCTTGTGTGCATTGTTATCACTACAAACCAAAGTTAGTGCAACAAATAATGGGATCTTCTCCAGCCGATCGTCTACTTGCTCAGCGCCCCTTTTTGGTAGTAGGTGTTGACCTATGCCGCCCATTTTATACTTCGCACTGTATTCGTGGAAAGGCGCTTTACAAAACCTATCTAGCAGTATTTGTCTGCCTTTCATCGAAAGCAGTACATGCGGAATTATATATCACATTTATCTACCAACTTTGACTCTCTTTGAAGCATTTTATTGGCAGACGTAGCATACCGTATCGTATCTACTGTGACAACGCCACGAATTTTGTGTGTATATGAATTCAAGCATCAGTTCTTCAACTAGGAATCAGTATCTGACATTGAGCAGTTCGGCAGCATTCATGGGTTTGAATTTCGTTTTATCCCACCGCGTGCTCCTCACTTTGGGGGATTGTGGGAAGCCGCTATAAAATCAATGAAGACTCTGCTAGTAAAGAACATCTCACAGTCTAACTTAGCATTCGAAGAACTTCAGACATTAGTGATTGAGGTAGAAGCCATATTGAACTCGCGACCTCTTACGCCTTTGGCTGACAACCCAAATGATGGTGAGGCGCTTACTCCAGCACATTTGCTCATAGGGACTTCGTTGAAAACACTGCCGGAGCCACAACTCAACGTCATAAAGGAGTCGCGTCTAACTAGTTGGCAGCGTATCACTTACTTAAAGCAGCGATTATGGGACTTGTGGCGTCGGGTTTACCTTCATGCATTACAAGTGCGGTCGAAGTGGCTTGAGACGCAAGAAAACTTCGTTCCTAGTCAGCTTGTTATGATTCCTGATCACAATTTGCCACCCCAACAATGGGCACTTGGTCGCATCACAAACACGTCCCCAGGAGCAGATGGCCGTGTACGCCTGGTTGATATTCTCACCAAGCGAGGTACTCTACGGCGACCAGTGCACAAGATAGCTCTTTTGCCGATTGAATAAAAATGTTTGAAACGAATTTTTCAACGGGCGGAGCATGTTGAAGCAGATGAAGTTGTTTATATTTATACAAAGTAGTTACAGTTTTGAACCACTGTGCCTGCTCTACATGCATACGTGCATACATGAAACATAGCGGCCGATGTTTTCCCCCTATCTTATTTCCATATGTATGTACATGCAAATGCCTTTGCAACTGCAATTGGGTACTCATATAGTTACACACGGCTTCACGTAGTTATATATGTATGTATGTACATATTTACATACATTCATAAATATAGGGTTATACGTATCAACGCATTCCTTAGCATAACAACACAAATACCGTAAATTGTTATTATCAATTGTTATCTCAACATCATTCGATGTTAAGATAACTTGCTCTTTCCAATAAGTTTTTGCTTAATAAGTTTCTAGCGCAATGTAAAAAGTGTTTGTCGAAATAAATCAGTGAAAATTAGCAGTTGAGTTTTTCTTCTACGAAGCTCATTAATTTGAGTTCAATCACATCCTATTTAAGTACTGCTATAAGTTCTGTAACAAAGCAGTAGGCTGTGATATTTAAAAATGTATGGTCCTGTTGTTCCATATTTTGGGACAATGTTCTATGCCAATATAAATGCAAATTAGTTTGGTTTGAAATTTCGTCTAATAAATGTGGAGTGGGATGACAAAGAAAATCGGATCGGGATAATTGCATTGCATAAGTGCGGAAATAGCGCGAGTCAGATATTCACATCGTTAAAAAAACTCGGTATATCCAGAATGTTTGTTTGTCGCACCATCGATCGCTTCTTAGAAACTTCTCAATTAGAGTGGAGCCATAAAACTGTGCGCGAGCGAATTCGCCGAAATCCCTTAAGGAAGCAGAAAATCATGGCCAGAAAGCTGGGCATGTCTTTCAGATCCATGTGTCGACTTATCCGTGATGACCTCCACATGAGGGCTTTTCGCAGGTGCACTGGTCATCTTTTAACTCCGCGGTTAAAACAAATAAGATTAGAGAGATGCAAGAAGCTTTTGCAGTGGCGCGCAAGTAACGGCCACGAAAATATTCTTTTTACGGATGAAAGTATTTTTACGATGGAGGAAGTTTTTTTGAATAAACAAAATGATAAAGTTTATGCTAAAGCATCTCAAGAAGCGAAAAATACTGTAGCAAGGGTTCAGAGAGGTCATCATCTAGCATACGTTATAGTTTGGTGTGGAGTATCCCATAAAGGTGTCACTTCCTTGCTGTTTTGCGAAAAGGGTGTAAAAACTGGAGCAAAAGTGTATCAACAAGATGTCTTGGAAGGCGTGGTGGTAATAATTTAACACTCTCTGTTATGGAGAACACTGGGTTTTTCAACAAGACTCTGCACCAGCGCATAATGCTAAAACAACCCAAGAGTGGTTACGACTTAATATTCCCGCTTTTATTTCTGCCGAAGATTAGCTCTCGGGCAGTCCAGATTTAAATCCTCTCGATTACAAACTATGGTCTGAGTTAGAGGGTGTGGCATGCAACGTTCGCCACCGAAATTTAGAAAGTCTCAAGCAAGCACTCATTGCAGCAGCTTCATCCATACCTTCGGAAACTATACGTGCCACTATAGCCAAATGGCCGGACAGTTTAAGGCCCTGTATTAAGGCGAAAGGCGATCATTTTGAAAATTATTTTGTTTTCTCATGAACATTAACATTCAATAAATAAAACCGAATTACAACACAATCTAAAAATCCCTTATTAAAATTGTTACGCTATATTAAATTTGTAACAGAACTTTTGACAGGACCAAGTATATACCAAAATTGTATACGTCAGGCCGCGTATAACTGGAGATGTTTTACTGTTTTTTTTTTGCCTTGTAAATTCTTTCACATCAAAAAGCTACTTACAAAGCCTTTATTAATTGAATCATGTTTATAAGTATTCAATTTAGTAATGCTGTGAATTGTATTTCGCAGATAATGCGAAGCATTGTGAGTACGGGCCTGTTCGAGACACGTAATAAAAGCGGCATTACTGCTGTACTGATGAAAATTTGCAACACTGTTGCAACAGCCCAACTGACAATACGTTGCTATAAATGCACACCGAACTGGATACTCTAATAATTCGCCCAACACTGCGGTTATGATTGTAACTCGAAAAAGCCCTACATCGCATTGTAGGAAATGATCAAGTAAATAATGTTGATGCCATCGATGTGGATAGTATAACAGGTAATTTTATTTATATTTATTATAACCAGTTAATAGGGTTTTATAATTTTGTTTTATTGTATAGCTATGCCTGAGCCTCACTTCCAGTTGCTTCGCCCACTACATTTTCGGCACCATCGCTTCCATCCCTCAGCGAAGTCTCCAAACCTGTAACAAAAAAAAAAAATCAGAAGGTTAGTGAGTTAAACGAGACCTTTAAATCAGCCATGGCAGAAAACATTAAATTGACTGCAGAGCTAATCGAAATTGAGAAGAAGAGGTAACTGCAGCGTCCTAGTTTCTTGGGGCGAAACTAATTTAAAATCGCTGTACACTCAGTGTCTTCATATGTATATATATATTTGAATTGACTAAAAAAATCAAACTCTTTGGCTTTCTTGAATGGAAGCAAATTTTATGTATGAATCGACAAGAAATCAGAGAGTGGCATCCGACCATCGTTTATTAAAAGTATAAGAATGTTTGAGATATGGCCGTTTTCTGAGATCTGCAAAAAATTGTCCTCACTTAAAAGAATTTTTTTATTTAATAATGAATGCAGAAGTTATTAGCACTTATGTAAGTAAAATACATACAAAAAGTTTCTATTCAAATTCTTGATTTTATTATATAGATAATAGGTCAAACTTTTATAAAAATGAAAATCATATATCTACATTTATTATATAAATTCAACATGCTTTACTAATGTGAAAAGAAGTTTGAGATTGGCAAACTATATCCATAAAATAACGGAAATTTGCCTGCCTATTTTTCAAAAACTGTTATAATTTTTTTAATTCTGTTTTCGTATTCGGATTCAGCGGAAAATTGTACTTTAGAATTAATATACAAATTTTTAGATCGGACAATTATTTATTTTTGTTAATTTATGTTATTGCTAGCTTTTGCCCGCAGCTTCGCACGAGTGATGTTTGGTTTGGTTCAAGGCGAATTTATATAAGGTGGTCTTGTTTAATCAGCGGTGTGTAGCGTTTGATTGTCAAATTTTATATTTTGCTAGTGAGTGAGTGAAAACGTGAGAGTGTTTGCATTTTCTGTCGCCCTTTTTCATTCGGAGAAGAATAGCTGAAATTTGACAATCACCAGCTCAAAGCAAAAACAAAATACAGGTAATTGTTGTATTTGTTGAATCGATACCACCTTATATGAATTCGCCTTGGTTTGGTTTTTTTGTGTTTTAAAAATGTGAGTGATAAATATTTTTCGCTTCACTTTAAAACTCGGAGCGATAAAACTTAATATGATGCCATCAACACAAATACACTATTTTAGAATTACGTCACCTGCAAATTCAGGAGCGAGCCGAAAATTTGATGAGTTTATGGTGAAGATAATGTAAATAACGCTATGGCTCGAAGTGCTCTTAAAAAATAGCGAGAGTATTTTGATGGATCTACGAGCTCTATTTTTTAAGACCTGGAAGTAGTAGTAGTAGTAGTATATTTGTATATTTATTTTTTTTTATAGCAATTCGAATACACACATTTACAACATTATACACACATATTATGGAATTTAAAAAATAAATTAAAAATTATGGCAGTAACTAATATTGTTGAGTGCCACACTAGAACTAACATATTAAGTTAACATAAACTACTTACGCAAATTCATTAATAATAAAATCCCTATATTTAATGCTGTTTTGCAAATATTTGTACAACGCTTCGTAATCACCGCCATTTAAAATGTTTATCACTCTTGCCAGGTCCAAAACTTTTTCACCGAAGCTATCCAAACGAGACGCGTTGTAGGCTGGGCAGACACCGATAAAGTGGTAAATACTTTCCGCATCGCCAAGGTTACAAACTGGATATATAACAGAGGTTACGTTTTTAAATGATCTCGCATTAATTATAAATACCATATGAGCGCGCAGTGTGTGGAAGTACTGGGGGACTATACCCGTTTCCAAATGCAACATATAATTTGGCGTGTTCGCAGGCAAGAATATAAGCTTCTTTATAAAGAAACGCAAAAGTTTTTCCACCTGTTCATGACTTTCCCCACCCCACACCTGTGCATTATAGAACATAATTGATCTTGAAGCCGCATCAAAGATTTTAATTTTTTTCGAAATTTGAATTCGGGGGTTGTTTATGTAACTTAACCAAGTAGCGCATATTGCAGATTTCCCCTCGTTAAGTTTTGTGTCTAAGTGCTTAGTGTAGGAAAGTCTGTGGTTTAACATTATACCTGCCGGACACCTTGATTAACCGAAAAGGAGCTCGACAGCTTTCCATTGAACCACACCTGACTCGTAGTATTTCCATATATAAGACGTAAAATATCAATCATATGACTTGACAGACCGTATGATGCCAGCTTGTAGAAGTATGTATGTAAATAATAGCAAAAAAAAATATTTTAATTTTATTTAGGCTACTGCGAGTTTAGTTTTTAAATTCACCCGCGATGCAAACATCCAATTTAAGTGTATTCAATCATAACCAATAGCACTTTTTTGGAACTTCTATGTGGAAAGCTTTTCGCTAAAAAAAACTCAAAACTTTTTGTTGTTGCTGCTAGAAAATGAAGGAATGTGAGACTTTACGGTTTTACAATTTTATATAGTTTTCTGTAAATTGTATTTCACTAAACTACTACCCGACTGCAACCATTTGGCTCATATTTGGAATATATGCCAGCACCTTGAAAATAAATATTCCGACTAAAAATTTACTCGGTAGGTGACGCTGGGGATATTCCTAAAATTCTTACACAGACTAAAACGTATAAATCCAATATATTTCTAAAACCAATTACGCTGGAGAACTGAAACTTAGCACGGATGAATTTGCATTGCAAATACTCTACTTATGGCGAAAACTGATAGACATTGGAAAAGGGGGCGTGGCAGCTCCCATACAAACTTTACTTCTCATATCGCTTATATTTGGAAACGTCGGCGCTAACATCATGAAATTCGGCACAGCTTCTCTTTCAAAAAGAGCAAAAAGTGACAGGAATTGGAAAATGGGGCGTGGCACCTTCCATACAAACTGAAATCCTAATATCGCTTCTCTCTGGAACCGCTTATGCTAACATCCTGAAATTTGGCACAGCTACCTACATATGTTATCAATATTGTACTTATGGCGAAAAGTGGTACATATTTATTGGAATGGTTGCATCTATATACATTTATGTAAACGGGCAAGTATCATTCGATTGGGAACCATTTCCCCCTAGATTTCTAGATCGCAGTAAACTATTGTGACTTTGTTTTTAATTTTTAGTAAAAGGTAAAATTTTGAAGTTTTTTTTCAATTTTGCACAATGTTTGGAACTTTGATTTTTATGAGTTTCATTATAAACTGTCTTATCTGTATAACTATATACATAAAATGATAGCCGTTTTCGTTGTTCGGACTAAACTCAAAAACCACTGGATAGAGTTCCGTCAGGATTTCGGAGGTTATACCTTGCATAAATACTCCTATTATATGCAATTTATATTATTTATAAAAGTCGTATTTTTAACCGATTTCGTTCAAATTTTAAATGTGAGCTATGTGAAAAATTCTTTTGATAAAAGTGGACCCGGTGGTTAGCGCTGCATTAGAGGTATTTGGAAAATCCGTACTTTTCATACAATCTGGTTGAAATTCATAATACTTACATATTCATTTTATGATAAGCAATGATTTTGATAGAAAGTGTACCCTATAGATGGCGCTGCAGCTGAAATGTATAGAAACCCCGTGTGCTTGGTCTGCTTTGGCCCTATGTTTAAGTTATACGAACTTAGGTCTCAGATGACTAAATGAAGGATGGGGTTAAAAATGCATAGAAAGACCGCAAAATTGTCTGCCTTTTTCTGACGCCCCCATGCACCCTAAATGCGATCTTGAATCTACCTAGAAACCAGTTCAGAAATATTATTGTCTTTCTACCTCTACGCATACTGGCGGGGTAACAGTTTATTTTAAAATCAACTGGAAAGTGACCAAAATTGTGGAGTACTCAATTCAATCAAGGATGTGCTTGTTAGCGTGTCGATGTGAAAGAGGCAATACAGACCTTCCAAAAAATTTGCGTCTTATATAAAACTTATTTTATACTAGCTTTTACTCGCGGGTTTCACCCCACGTCAGAAGGAAGGGGTCATGTGAACTGTGGTTCCGAAGATATAGCTGATAAAAAATTCCAAGCCTATGTTAAGTGCTACGCCCCCTTTTACAAACTCATTTATATAAACGTACCTTATTATAAGCACCTATATACTATAGATATGTCTGCATACCAAATTTCAAGTTTATGTGACTTCAGAAGTTATGGCTGAATAAAAATTCCACGCCTATGAGATGAACCACGTTCCCTTTTACAGACTCATTTATATATACACCTTACTAAAAGCATCTACCATATATATGTCTGCATACTAAATGTCATGTTGATGTGACTTATGGTTCCGAAGTTATAACTAGTAAAATATTCCACGCCTTTTAGATTTTCCGCCCCTTTCACAGTCTCATTTATATATATACTTTACTATAAACACCTACCATAGATATGTCTGCATACCACATTTCAAGTTCATGTGACTTATGGTTCCGAAGTTATGACTGACTAAAAATTCCGCGCCTATGTTATCTGCCACGCCCCTTTTACAAACTCATTTATATATACCTTAAGATAAGCACCTACCATAGATATGTTTGCATACCAAATTTCAAGATCATGTGACTTACGGTTCCGAAGTTAGAGCTGATTAAATAATTCATGCCTATGGGAGGTGCCACGCCCACTTTTCCAATACCGCCCAGAATGGAATTAATTTTATTTATCTCGACAGCAAGTTCCAATTCTCTACCACAAATATTTCAAGAGCTATACAACATGAAAGTTTTAGTTAGTATAGGAAGTGCCACGCCCCATTTTCCTGTGCTGCCCTTTTTTCTCAATTTCACGTTCTATTTTGCTCAATTTCTTTATTAAAAGAGCATGAATAAATTATTGCATTTTTGAGATTGCAATTAAAATGTTTGATTGAATCAGTGATTTGATTGCAATCACAATCATTGCAATCAAATGTGCTTACAATTAAATTGATTGTAGTTTTTACAATCAGAAAAATGCAATAAATTTTGATTGTAATCCTACAAGTAGCACAATCGTTGATTGCTAAAGTAATTGATTGC